AATCTTATTGCTAATTACAAGTCTCTGCATATAGGTACTCTAAGGAGAACTGTCGACTTAAAATGAGGAGAAGTGTAAGCCTTGGCAGGGATATACATAACACATAAATAATATACACATAGATGCATATACACGTTGATACGTGTATATGCATCTATGTGTATAGTGCGCATGTGTATGTGCTGATGCACATACACATGCGCACACCCCCATGTGTACACATACATACACACACATACAAATACTAACACACTGAGATGCCGATACATAGATGTGCTAAAAAATAAATAAAGAAAGAACAAAAGAAAATCAAATAGAGAAACAGAGTAGTACAGTTTGAGTGCCACTTTAAGATTCAAAAAATGATTGAGCTAATACCCTTCTAATCGTGTTCACATTAGTGCAAAACAAGTCTATATCGAGATTCCGTGTAAGTTGATTAAAACTAATTGCACTTCTTAGAGTAAAAGCATTACGCCTATAGTTCGTTGTTGCAAAAGGTATATTTAATAGAGGTCGTTGTCGAAAACCAATTCTATTCACACTTAACTCCACCTTAGCAACCAGTTCGGGGCAATCGATGGAGCCTTGAGCTACGTTTATTAAATAACAGATGTCACTGATACAACGTCTTTGCTCAAGCGGTAGAAAATGGAACCTTCTGCAACCATAATCATTTGACCACTGCTGCGCTTTGAAACTCAGAAATCGGAGAAATTTCACCTGAACACCCTCAATTCGTGACTTATGAATATCATATTGGGGATTCCAAACTTGAGATGCATATTCTAAGTGGCTGCGTACTAATGAACAATATAGAACTTTAATTGGCTTAATAGATTTGAAGCAAGCTGTTGTTCTAATCATGAATCCAAGTGCTTTTGAGGCCTTTTTAACAATATCATTAACGTGCTGGTCATACAGAAGTTTGCTTTCTTGTATAATTCCTAAATCCTTTATACTATGAACTTTGCTGATTATCTGGTTACTAATTGTATAACCCGTACTTATTATAGATTTCTGGCGGGTGAAGGTTACATGAAAACATTTAGATACGTTTAGCTGAAGTTTATTATGTCTACAATATGTCTCAAATCTCTTGAGATCGTCTTGCAGTTCATATGTGTCAGATACACTTCGCACAACTTTATGAACCTTCATATCATCAGCGTATAAAAGTATGTATGAGTGTTTAAAGCAGTATTTAATGTCGGCAATGCACAAAATAAACAAGAGAGGTCCCAAAATTGACCCCTGAGGAACTCCGGAAGGTATGTAACTCCAACTAGAAGTATATCCCTGCAGCACAACAGCTTGCGATCTATTTTCAATATAAGATGAGAACCACCTATACAGATCCCCATGAATACCTGCCGTGTATAACTTTTTTAGGAGTACTTGATAGTCTATACGGTCAAAACATTTACTGTAATCAGTATATATGACGTCTACTTGTCCTTCGTGTTCCATTCCCTGTGAAACAAATTCGTGTGACAAAATCAAATTTGACGTAGTAGAACGATTCCTTAAAAAGCCATGTTGCTCCTCGCCAAAATTACCCTGTAATGCCGCATATACGTCAGTGTAGACTAGCCGTTCTAAAATTTTTGAAAAAAGACATATCTTAGATATGGGGCGGTAGTTTTCAATATCGGATTTTTTTCCTTTTTTGAAGATTGGCGTAACAAAAGCTGATTTCCATATTTTTGGAACTATCCCTTCCGACAGAGAGCGCTTAAAGAGAATGCACAGAGGTACAGTTAAACTTTTCGAACAACTGACTATAAAAATCGGAGGTATAAAATCAGGTCCTCCTGATTTAGATACGTCTAGGTTTTTCAGCAGTGTCAACAGCCGAGACTCACATATTTCAATCGTGCTAATTCCCGTTAGACTATCACTGATGCAATGTTCGCTGCTCATTCTATGCGTATGAGAGTCAATTAGCGTATGGTCTGGTTGTTGAAAAGTCGAATAAAAATATTTGGCGAATAAGTTACTGATATCTTCACCCGTGCTAGCTGTAATGTCCTTAAAATGCATTATATTAGGGTATGTATTACTTTGTCGTCTACTCTTAATATACGACCAAAATGACTTGGGATTTTTAATAATGGAGGATTCAATTTTATCCATATAAGTGTCAAAACAAGAATTTTCCAATTCAATTACTCGTCTACGAAGTAATGTAAAAGAGTGATAATCCGATAAATTGCCATATTTTTTATATTTTTGATGATATTTGAATTTTTCTTTTAACATTTTAATTAGAGCCGTATTGTACCATGGAGGATGAGATGAACGTTTTACAGTTTTTAATGGAATATATTTATCTCTTAATTCATACAATTTGTCGTAATATTTAGTGACAGCATTCTCTAAGGACTCCGCCAATAGAAAGTCATACCAGTTTATTCGACTCAGTTCAGAATTGATAGCTTCATAGTCTCCCCTTGAAAAAAGATACCGAGATGTTAATTTTTCACGTAGTTTATTAAGTAAAATAATAATTATTCTTTATTAGAACTTTAACAGTAGAACCTCTGCAAGACGAACTTCAAGTTTTGAAATCTTTTTGTGACGCAGAGTCGGCAGATTATCCATGTTGCAAAATAATACCGTGTGTAGCAGTCTTAAGAAAAATAACACGTACAGCCATGCTTTCACGTCAGTCACTGCCGGCGGACAGCGACGCACTAGCTAATTGGTTGAATGCACCCCCGCCCCGCGTCCCCCAAACCATCAGGAGGGCCAAGCTTACGGCGGTTTAACTATAGCTAATTGGTTGAATGCACCCCCGCCCTGCGTCCCCCAAACCATCAGGAGGGCCAAGCTTACGGCGGTTTAACTATAGCTAATTGGTTGAATGCACCCCCGCCCCGCGTCCCGCAAACCATCAGGAGGGCCAAGCTTACGGCGGTTTAACTATAACTGCTAATAATAATTCCACCACTAGTGGTTGTTTCCTAATAATGCACGGCACTTATCTCCGACTTTCTATATAGTCTCTTCTTGGTATTGTTGAATGTCAACATTGACAACAGCAATTAAAAAAATCTAAAACCTGACTGTAAAAAGGCAATTTTAAAGTAATAGACAGGCCTGTTGGTCTCGTGGTTAGTGACCCTGACTGCTAAATCGGAGGTCGTCGGTTCGATTCCCATCCAGGACAAATATTGTGTGATGAGCATGGTCATTTGTTCTGTGTCTGGGTGTAATTTATCTCTAATATGTATGTATTTTGAAGCCATAGCACAGGCTCTGCCTAGTTTGGAATCAGACAGCCGTGTGTGAGATGTGCGAGATATATTATAAAGTAATGCACCAAAAAGACCGAAACAGCACTAGGCCCCGTACAAACAGCCTATTTTTACGCTATCAAAAACTTCTTAAACCAATTTATTATTCCTTATTCATTTTAAAAATATAACTTACATATACTTTTGTAATCCCCTTTTAATTTTCTTGAGATTGACACCCTACTTGATAGGTTTGATTTTTTTTTTTTATTGACTATTACTACTTTGCGCTTAATTCCGAAAGTTTGTTTTCTCTTTCAAAATGCCATTTAAGGTCGCTTGGGTTTTTTACACGGATATAACAACACTCTAACTACCGAAATCCGTCCAGACTGGAAGATACGAAGTAAAAGAAAAAAATTACAAACAAACAAAAAATACGCGCGAAAAACATAACCCTTCCTTTAGCAATCGGGTAAAAAAATACAGGCTTCATGTTTTAGATTCTCTAGGGGGAAGGGGGCAGCAGCACTTCCTTGACGACGCCTTTGAGTAGAATATTATTATTATTCTATTAAACTCGCAACCATTATCAATTCTGTTGAAAGCGGGTCTGGCAAATTACTTCTTTGAGACCACATAGATTGATAAGTACATGATTTAAAAACGGCTCAAAACACTTATGATTATCATCGGGGCAGCTTACTGGGTTAATTAGAGCCGACCGATGTGCTAAACACCCCACCATTTAGGAGATCACCTAAAATATGTTATGAAATTGATGGTTGGCTGTGTGAGTCACATTACCTATTGGAAGTTATTACTAAACAAGTAACTTATTACCATGGGGCTGTTAGTGATTACTTAACAGCTGTGAAAACTACTTAACGTGACTGTATCTAGTGTCCTGGGGGCAAGTGTGAGTTTATTTCACATCAACACGATCGTCACGTTGCGATTGGTGACGAGTCCAGTGCGGTCCAATCGCAACGTCGAACGTTGTCACCGTGATGATCGACTAGATGTCAAATAAACTCGCACTAGGCCCTAGGGTTCTTACAGTCATGGTCACTAGAACTTGTGAATTGAATTGGCTAAGCATGTCTTCACAAAGAGATACCACATTCAGATAAGAGAATCAAGAATGAGAGGGAGTGGCCACACAACAGGCAAGTATCATACCTGATACAAAATCGCTCCTAGAAGCCTGTGAACGACTCGGGAAGCTTCTGCGCTTCTGGAAGGAGTTTGGTTGGCTCACCCAGCCAACCTTCCCTTGACGCATAAAATACCATTCTCGAGTCTAAACGCGGCAATCACAGCCCACAACCAATAAGCATGATTATTCCGTCACTATACTTTGCTTAAATAATAAAACTACATAATGACTGAAAAATAACTTTATTCTAATAATTATACTTATCTCACAAGTTGCAGAAACATTCCACAAGCTGCAAACAATAGGTTATGTGTACCTAATGGAATTATTTATTCTCTTATTATCATAATGATACCTTATCTAAAATATAAACACCAAAGTCACTAGTTCAAGTTTCCTAAAAGCTTTCTCATACCGTCTTCAAATTACAGCTTGTAATTTATAAGAAAACTGGAAACAATAAGACCAATCAAACTAAAGCACTTAAAATAAAGTTTTACATAATAAATTCAAAATCTATTTTTTTAAATTTATCCAGCCAGTTTTGAAGTCAATATAATTAGAGATATTATAAAATCTGTAAAGTCTCAAACTTAATCAACTTAATCCTTAGCAGGGACTTCAATAACTCGCGGTTTGTCAATGATGCGAGCAGTACGGTTTCCTTTCTCCACAATACCAATAATCCAAGCCTGGTATCCTTCTTGCTTCTCAATGTCTTTACAGTATGCAGCAGCTTGTTCACGTGGCAAACAGATGAGAAGCCCTCCAGAAGTTTCAGGAGCATGCCCCTGCAGCAATTGGAACATATTGCCACATGCTTTAGCTACAGCTGCCATCTTTGCTATAACTGGTAAGTTGTGAATAACAAATGACACTTCGTTCTTCTGGTGTGAAGCTAAGTTCTGTGCATGTCCAAGAAGACCAAATCCTGTAACATCTGTAGACCCATGGGCGTTATATTTATGCATCAAACGGGCAGCAATACGGTTTAGTCTGCTCATAGAATCCATAGCACGGTGGTATGCTTTACGTACATCCTCTTCCGAAACAACCAATTTAATTCGGTTCCAACGTTCTGGTTGGTCCAACCATTGATGTGCATTTACAGCAACTTGAGTACCCAAAGGTTTCGTTAAAACAAGAACATCGCCCATCACAGCATTGTCTGGTACTATGTATTCATTTGGCTGGCAAATAGTAGTAGCCACCCCACCAATGGCACACCAAGGATTAATAACAGTTTGACCCCCCGTAACAGAGGTACCAGCCTCCAGGGCAGAGTCTTTAAAGCCTCGCATGATTAAGGGTATTACAACATCCCGCTCTTTTTCTGTCATCTTTGTTGATACACCAAGCAGCATGAGCATATTATCACATTCAGTTACACCCATTGCATATAAGTCGCTGAGCACATTAGCACACGCGATCTTTCCCATCATATACGGGTCGTCTACAAGAGGATAGAAAAAGTCAGTCGTTTGCACCAAACAAAGTCCTCCATGCCTGAGTGGCGTCACTGAACAGTCCAAGCCGATACCAATGCGCGGGATCGCCACATGCATAAACTGATCATCTTGCTGGGAATAGTCCTGTTGAAGTGATTCCACCAATTTTCCCAAAACATCTTGAGGAACTTTACAGCTTCTACCTTTAAGGTCCGCAAATCGCGTTAAACGAAAACTCGCTTCTAAATCGTGTGCGACAGGGTCAAATGGCCGACGCAGGGCCAATGCATTGGGGTTACCGGTCATCTCTAACTGCGCCGCAGCTAATGAGTCTTGAGCTACGCTTGATTGATACGACATTTTTAACGAAACAAAACAATATTATGATTTTACTGAAGGTATTTCGGGTCAAAATACGGAAACCCGACACGCCGCCAAGTGACGCTTGCAAAATGGCGTCTCCGTTACACAAGGAAAATGGTAGGAGATATCTCTTTCAGATGCCGGCGTCTGATTGGGTGCAAAAAAATGTAAACAAGACAAGGTCTTCTGTAATTGGCTGTTGCGTGGTTTATTTTTATTGGCACCAGGGAGAACAGACTTGAGACATCCAGTAACGTTTCTTTACAAGCTGAATGTTAATGTTATTGTGATTCTGTTAGTTTTGATCTACACATTACACATAAAACATTAAGAACAAAAATGAAAATTAAAAAAGAATTTTTAGGATAGTATTATTATTTAAATTCTTATCATTAAAATATTTGGCAATAAAAAAAAGGGGTTATAATAGATTATTTTTATGAATTTGTCGTGGAACTGAATTGGTTATTTAGTTTTAATTCTAACACTATTTGACCAATGAGAATTGAGCTTCTTTGATTTTATTACCAATAGAGAATCGCATACTTGTGTTACCTCAATGGTGATTTGCCGATAGAATATGCAAAGTTTTTAAAAAAAATCAAAGTTTTTTAAATGTATATCGACGGTTGACTAAAACTGTAGTATAATTTGCTCAATTTGTACTTAATTATTTTGTATTGAAATATGTTATGATAACTTTTAATCAATAAGTCGGCATGTCTTCTAACAATTGGAAAAAAGTGGAAAATGAAGCAGGATATCCGTGTTACATTTAGTACGTAAACTTTCTCTGACACTTGTAAGTAACAGGTACACAAATATACATTATTTTATGATTTTTTTAGCGATGCGACGGGAAAACAACAATATGATCATCCGGAGTTCAGGAAGATTATGGAACTACTTGAGGAATACGATGGGATTAAATATAGTGCCTACCGAATCGCTTTTAAAATATATGCTTTGCAGAAACACCTGCGAGGTAAGATCAACCTGTTGACCTTTTAATTCTTCGTTGTTTACATGGGAAGTTACCTTATAAACTAATAAAACTGGAGTTTAACTTTTTTATCAACTATTTTATTTGAGGGGATTGTGACGACACATTTTTAACCCAGTTATATTATAATCAGTATGGTACATAATTTTCATTATTATAAAGTAATACTATTATGTTTTATTTAATTAATTATTTTTAATCCTATTAATATGTCTTAAAGTGAAGACACAAAACGTCCTATAAAATGATAAAGCTAATTACAGCTAAACTTCATTTATCTTAATAATAGTAAGACTACTATGTAGGCCATACAAAATTATGAGGATTATGGGTTTTCATTAAGTAGCTGGAATAAATGGCCTAATAATTTTTAAGTATGAAAATAGTATGGTATGAAAACAGATGATGTTCTGCAGCACTGTTGATAGCAGCCATAATTGAAATAAATCTAGTTCGTCAAATTTGCATGATACTTCTTTCTGTTACAATTTGTTTGATGTATATATCACATCACATCATCACATCAACAGCCTATAACAGTCCACTGCTGGACATAGGCCTCTCATTAGAAAGGAGGTTTTGGCCTACTATACCACGCTGGCCAGACGGGTTGATATAGGGTTTTTTTCAAGTTTTCTTTCTCTTTGCAGTGCTGTTATCCTGTGTAGTTTGCTCCCTTAGTCGGCTCTTACGACACCCAGGGGATGTATAGGGGTGGTGACATTCTGTATTCTTAATCCGTCACCACATGAACTGATGTATATACACGGTGATTTTAAACGCGTTTTGGAAAAGAAAATTTTGAATTATTTATCAATAACAGAAGCTATATATAATGTTAATTTAATAAAATATATATGTATGTACTCATCACTTCATACGTATATTCATCACTTTACTATGTAATACAGTATATTAAGTTATTGAAACTCTTTGCTTCAGTGCCTCCTCTCCGTATAAGTTCAGGAGTGTTTGGAAGACATCAACTAAGTCTATCTGAGAGCAGCTTGTCCCTGGATACTGTTGAGCTTGAGGCTGTACTTGCAGATATATACTTTGCTGCTGAGAAAGAAGGCCTATTTACTGGAGATATTGACCTGGCTGTAGATTTGCTGATTAACTTGTTGCTCAATATTTATGATAAGTAAGTAAAGAGAAACTACAATATAAAAACAAAACTGGCCTGTGTCAAGTACTGGGGTGGGCCTCAGTACTTGACACAGGCCATGTATGTTGCCCAAGTGTGAGTTTATTAAACATCTATTCACACATTAGTGAGTTGATGTGAAATAAACTTAAACGGTTAATGGGTGATCTATGTAAATGTCAATAGGCGTCATATTCAAAAATCGGTTTGAATCCGACCTATTGACAAATTTAGTATACTTATCTATAAGTCATTATTTTATGATATTTAGTGAATTACATAATTCTGAAACAATAAAATAAAATAGTAATGAGCTTGCAATCGAACATATGAACACAATATATCTCACGCACATATACAAATACACACCCCCATCTAACCCACAGAACACACACACACACACACACACACACACACACACACACACACACACACACACACACACACACACACACACACACACATATGTATATGTTATATATTCACTAGATACTTACAAGTTAAACAGAAAAGCCACACATCACATCACATTACATTTTATTATTAAAAATATTTAAGTAACTATGAGACTTTTTTCATCTCAGCTACAGGAAATGCATTGCTAGACATAGGCCTCACTCAATAACTTCCATTAAAACTGGTCTTCTATAAGCCGTAGATGGCCCGAGGTACGTCGGGGTACCAGGGCTATCCTTTCTAGGGTATACCTGGTTCCCCGATTACTGGTACCTGGAGACGGTTTGGTCGGTTCGAGTCCGACATAATCACCCACTGGTGGGTGGTATCCGAGGGGAGTTCTGTACATGAAGAAAAAAAAAGGTTGATCATAGCAAATGCATGTAACTCAATTTAACAAAGAATACTGGTAAGATCTTTTCTGCCTAACATAGTCAAAGTGTAAGTATTGAATTATGCAATTTCATGATTACAGGGAAAGAAAAGAACCTCTCCGAGTATTGGCTGCAAAAACTCTCCTTATAATATTAAGTGAAGAGTCAGCATCAGATAAATGGGTAGCTTTAGCAAACTGTTGTGCAGATCATAATGGTTGCGTATCTCCGAAACGGTTGGCAGCATTGTTAACCCACGTGTCAGCATTATCTGCATACCTTGGTGTTGATTATAACCAAGTGCAGGCAGATGTGGACTCATGTTTTGACAAGGTAAGTTTATTGCAATTTAAGTGAACCATGTCTCTTGAATATAAGGTAAATTCACATTGTGATGGTTTAAAAATGTGTACTCATTACCAGGGTTACTTAATTCAATGTAGTTCAAATTTCTTGTAAACAAATAATATAATATATGTACATAACCTGTCTAATTTTTACAAAGTATAATATAAAATATAGATCAACACAAATATAATTACTGAAAAGGTGTCAATCTATGAATATCTGTGTCAGAAAGCTTTACTTTTTTTTTTAGTTTTTTAACTTGATTTAACGTCGTCAGATGGACAACAGATGGACGTATCCCATATTAACAAATAAAAATCAAATAAAAAGAAATTAGTTAAATCTTTTACGTAAGCAATTTATATAACATACAACAAAATTAAACCAATGCCATGACCCTGTTATCGCTATTGTATCAATAGACGTTTTTTTCTCAGTATTGAAAGTTAGGCCTTATTCACACGAAACTTTCAACACTTGTTGAGACTTTTCAAATACTTAAACCGAACCGGATACCGTAGGTGTATTCACACGTCCGAGTTCGAATTATTTATCGACTAGTGTGATGTTTCGACGATTACGATTGTAGTTCATGTTTTATCTGATGGTTCTGTAAGTAAGTAAATCGCTATGAGACTATGTACTTGTGTACATTTTTTGACGTGAGAACGTCTTATAATTCGATGGAGCCGGCTGCACGCACGAAAAACATGACTCATGCGGCGTTACCTCGCTCTGAGGCGTTCCATTTAAGGCTTGAAGTGCAAGCGAGAGCGCGGAACGAGCGACAAAGATGCACAATCGGCCTCCGCCTTCGGCAGAGTTTGACATCTGTCTCTCACCTACTTGAGTGAGCGATGCGTCCGCGTGGACAGCTGCTATACAATAATACATTTACATGTTTTCGTAAAATGCAACCATTCCATCAGTATTTTCTTATGACGTTGTCACGTTCAACTATCGTCAGTAAACCGACTTTACAGACAACCGATTTTTTTTTTAACTTGTTTTTTGCATCATCTAACGCAGAGATTCCCAAAGTGGTCAATATCTACCGACATACCATTAAATGGGTGTGTTGTTCTAGTGGTTAGTAATTTTTACTGCGAGTCGTGGGAGGATGTGGGTTCGATTTCGACGAAGGACAAATATTGTGTGAAAAGCTGTCAGTGTAATTTGTCTATGATATCTAATGTGAAGTATGTTTATTAATGGTCTGGTTACTACAGTACACTAGGCCCAGTGTGACTTTATTTCATATCAACTCGCTCGCTCTCGTTGCAATTGGTGTAGAATTCAGTGCAAGCCAATCGCAACGCCGAACACGGTCACCGTGTCAATCGAGTAGATGTGAAATAAACTCACAATAGGTCCTCAGGCTCTGTCTAGTTTGGAGTGAGACGGCCGTCGATGGTGTATAGGCGTCTGAAGTTATTGGAACGAAGTTCCTTATCGCGCGTTTCACGCTCAGCGGATGGGAGCGAAACTGAAAAACGTGTAACAAGACTTATTTCCGACACTAAATAAAACAAATATCTACCAAAAACTGACGGGGGTCCATAGACCGCCATTTTTATTAGTGACAAATATATTGGCATTACATTTTCAGAGCGCGGGTATGTTAGGTGTGAGCTCTCGCGCAGTGTCCGAGTGGGGAGAGTCTAGTTGTAGTGCTCGCTGGCTGCCTGTGGTGCAGCGCATAGTGAGCAGTCGAACTAGTGCTGACGTCACAGCTGCTTGTGCTCACTGCAAGCAACCCCTTATACAGGTATAACCATCATTCTTTATAAAATACAAAATTAATTAGCTTTACATATGCTCGTTATGAATATCGCAAATTGTCACATAGTTACGTAATTTTAATGGTTCGTATCAACCGTTGGTTAGGTATATGTTGATAGATTTTTCACTTAGACATTTTATAACGTCTCAAACACACCTCACAACATTTTGTAAATGGAAATACATACTCTTCCTGTTATATATGGCCGACGTGGCCTAAAAATATACTTGACAAAATGTAGAAGAAGTCGAAGTCGTGGAATTCTAAATACGAAAGTTAAAAAAACTGTTTGGTTATGGAAAATTACTTTTTTAAAATTAATTATTTTTGCAAAATTAATTATTTTGGCAAAACCTTGTTTTTGTTTATTTGTATGGATTAGATTTATTTGCAATGTTTTAGGTGCTGAAATTCAAATGTTTAAAATGTAGTGACGTATATTTCTGTGAAAAATGTTACTTGTACGAAAAAGACTTGACCACGACCAGTGGTCATAAGAAGACTCACTTAGTGCATGAGGTCATCGATGGACAGGTGAGTTTTAGAAATTTAACTTTAGGTATATTTGAGCCATAATTGTTGCTAAATGCTGTTTAAAGTGTTATATAGAAGAGCACGATCACTTGTTCTGTGTATGGGTAAGTAAGTGGTAAGTATGTTTAACAGCAGTCTGGTTGCCATAGCACAGGCTCTGCCTAGTTTGGGATCAGACGGCCGTGTGTGAGATGTGTGAATATCTAATATATAAAATTCACAATGTCAATTCACAAATTCAAGTGTCACAATGTTAGTTACCATACTCTTCCGAAACGGCTGTACCGATTTTTATGAAATTTTGTGTGCACATCTTGTAGGTCTGAGAATCGGCCAACATCTATTTTTCATATCCCTAAATGATAAGGGTGGCACCAAAATTTTTTTTTCAATATTTCCTAGAAATAATGTATATGGCAAAACAACGTTTGCCGGGTCAGCTAGTATATATATAAATATGTATATTTGAATATTTGTCATGGGTGGAAATTGAACCCACGACCTCTGGCGTAGTAGTCAGGGTCACTAACAACTACACCAACAGGCCCGTCGAATATTCAGAAAAAAAGAAAAAACTTGTTCACAGATAAAGTCATCAGAATGCCTTAGCTTCATAAAAGGTATAAAGAAATTCTTTTTCTGCACTAAAACTAAGAAGAAACGTCCTAAAAAGGGAACTAAGAAGAGTATAGAGAAAACGGAAGGCCATGGATCCGTCAGACGAAGGAAAGATGGGAGACCAGCAATGTTTACGTCCACAGTGGGTAAAGCTTCAGGAAACACTGCTAGTAACCCTGCATCTTTACTTCAAGATATTATTACACAATTAGAAACACAAAATAAGTAAGTACATATTTAAAAAAAAATAAAAAAAAATTGCTTACACGGTGAGTAATACCTTACAGGTACTTACGTTGTTAACCCTTCCAACTAAGCTGAATGCTTATAAAAGCGTGTAATGCTTGTAACCTAGTTACTATGAGAGATTAAAGATGTACGGTTATACTCTTAATACCTTTCGAGTCGAGTATGAGTAAGTGTTAGATATCCTACTTATCGAGAAAGGCTAAAGGCCTATATAACATCACGCTACGACCAATAGGAGCGGGGCATCAATGAGGAATGTTACAAAGATGGGGAAAATGTATTCCTTTTGAGAGATGCAGATGCAATTGTGTGGGTCGACTACTAGGCATGAGTTTGCAGTCTGTTTAATAAACCTTGTTTTTAATCATTTTTTTGAGACAACTCCCTCATTAGGAATATATTCTATGTCGTAGGGGACTTTACAAAGAACACCGAGACTCAGAACAACAATTTCCATGCGGGGATCGAACCCACAACACTCAGCGTAGTAGTAAGCGGCGTGGCAACCACTTTAACCACTACGCCATCCGTGTAGTCATTAAAAAATATACTAATATAATTTCCAGGGCTCTTCAGGATCTATCCAATCAATTGCAGAATGAACAGAAGAATAGTGACCAGGAACTAAGGACAAAGGTAGAGTCACATTGGACTCACGTATCAGCGCAGATAAATAGATTAAAAATGTTGAAGGTAATAAAAATAATAAGTGTATAATTACAAAAATAGTAAAAAATATCAGAATTCGTACATTACGTAAATGGATCATTGCTATAAACTGAAACTGAGATAAACTGTTAAAATCCCAAATTAAATGATATGTATGTATCGATGTATAGAGTAAATAAACTATTGATAAAAGTACCTTAGAAACCAGACATACATTTTCTAAAGATAAATTGCATCCAAATTAGACCAGACTCATAGAAAGTCAATATGTCGCCATAATGAAAATAGTACTTCTGAGTATGACCCCGATTATTTTTAAGATTAACTATGTCAACACTGCTCTGATTATCTTTTAGGAAAATCTTACATCCAGTCCGCAGAACATCCCTATGGAAAACTTGACGAAAGCTGACAAGAACGACAGACCGCAAGCATTTGATTTGTTCAGTCCAATACCAATTGTGGACGAAAAACAGTCCAAAGTAACGGACATTAAGAACCAACCGAGGGTACTGAGTCTAGATTCTGGCAACTTCTCTGTGGTGTCCAAACATGAGAGTCAGAACTTGATGACGATGTCCGGAGACGCGTTGAAGCCGGTCGTGGTTCATGCCACATCTGACAGTATATCTACTGTGTCTATGAATGATATTAGTAATTGGTATAATGGTGAGTCCGCTTTCTGTTTATAATAAGTTGATGACCTCGTCTTAATGGAATTCCAAGAATCCCGATTCCCATACGAGAGTCGTGCTATTCCTAACGCTAGCTTCTTCGCCAGAAGCTAGCCAAAACATATTGTATTCCTAACTAAAATTGGTAATTGGTAAGAAAGTGATAACATCCATACTCATATAATGCGAAGGTGTGTCTGTCTGTTACCTCTTCCCGCTTAAACCGCTGAACCGATTTAGATGAAATTTGAGTCCCGGGGAAAAAACGTAGGATAGTTAGTAATTCTGAAAATCATCCTTTAAGGGGGTGGAAGTTTGTATGGGGAATCAATAACTACTGAACCTATTTAGATAATATTTGGTATGGAAATGTTTAATGCTTGAGGAAGGACAAAGGATATTTTTACCGCGATAACTGCCATACAGGCGGGCGGCAAGAGCTGCTTAGCTATATGTCTGCTAAACAACATGAAAACAATATGTCTATCACAAAATGTATTAAGAGATAAGCACACATCTCGCAAAATGAGCTTTTTTTTAGTTACGTGATCTTAAGTCTTACAAGGCTCTTGTGATAGAGTATTATTGACATAATTAATCTAATCTTTATAATCTTTAGTTGTTCTTAAAAGAAATCTATTTTTCTTCTAGAAACAGAATCAAACGCTGACCGACAAAAACTGAAAGTTCGTCAAAATGCAGACACAACTTGCCAGTCTCTCGCCGCGACGGAGCAGAAGTTCGCGGCGGACATACGCTCCGTGGAGACCAGTAATGACAAGATGAAGGAACTCAATGCCGACTTAGACACCGTGCTGGATAGACTGCAGCAGATATTGACCAATAACTTTGCTATGGATGGTAAATAAATTTATAGTAATAATATTATATAACTAAGAATCCTGTATGATAGATTTTTTACATCATAGAGTCTTACAGTTTGAGGTAGGTTTTTTTATTGACCCAGTGCAGTAATAAACATTTATAAATTTTTGATAAATAAATTTTTAATCTGTGAATATATCAATAAATTAATAAAATATTATAAGACAGAAAAAAATGTTTTATGAAAAAAGGTTTAGCGCCTATAAATCATTCACGTTGTTATTTAAGTACAGATATGTTTAAGTATTTTTAATTTCATTTGCCTAAGGAAAAAATCTTCAATTGTAGCAGAAAGTTGTGGTTAAATTACCGATCCCATGAAAGATGTATGACGTTTATTTTGCTTACAGACTCGTGCTTTGACAACACGCAATTGCGGGAAACAGCGAATGAGATGGAAGGTCTACTCGGCACTTTGATACGAGGAGTGGAGCAAAGAGCTACGCTCAACGCGACTAAGGGACTTGTATAGCGGCAGGTGATCGTCTTGGTGTGAAACTGATTTTATATTAATTAAAATGAATTGTTGTATAACATCAACATAAACGTAACTGAGATATAACATCTATGTATGTGACACGAAGAAGTTACACATGAGAATCTCAGTATTATTATGCTCAATAACGCTAGAAAGGCTGAACGAATTTGGATGGAATTTGATAGAGATATAAATTGTAGTCTGAAAAAAGTAGAAAAATTGATTGACATAATTGCTATTAACGCGAGTGGTCTAACGCACGGTTAATAAATAAATTATGCCCTGCAATTCTAAAAGGTCCTATGGTTACAATGGTTTTTAAATTTATGTGACATTTTATAAATAAAACATTAACTGTCTAAAATTACGAAAACAACGCGTTGATGTTGTCTTGTTTAATCTCTCTCAAAATTATAATATTTACTATTTTAGGTTAATTGTATGTTGGTCTTTCGTCATTGATATAATGAATGGAATGAAATATAGAAATTAAATTAAAAACGTTAAAATATAATTAATAAGTTACAGATATCCGTCCCACATTTAATGTAGTGTATTCCGACAGGGATATTTTAAAAGAATGTTAATATTATATCTAAGCGTTTTAAAAATTAATATTTCGCCACATAAAATATTGAAAACAACAGGAAAAAATTAATTATTTTTTATGTATATTACGTGTGATATTTGTATTTTAATAGTCTTTTTATGTATTACTAATTAATATTTAAAGCCTATAATGATATACAATATTCTGTGTTGAACATGGATGAAGTTTGAAAGTCAGATATTTTTTTTTATTGATATTAACCCTATTGTAAGATCTGACAGGAATCTACATTAAAGGTTAACAAAGAACAATGTTTCATCGCAAAGATGTTGATGATCAGGAATAAACTTACCTCTACAGTTATTTAAATTTGTTGCCAATGTTAGCTGTATGTTACACATTATTTACTTGTGCCGTGTGTGAGAAATACATCAATATATTTATGAGATTTAACTATTCAAAATTTATAAAAAATGTGCTGAATGTAAATTATATTGACTTGTGAATACATTTAGACACACAGACATATCGTTAAATATTGAAAGTTTGAAACATTAATGTAAATTTTCTTAAAATTTTTAGAAATATGAGGTTATGTATATTTACTTTTATATTTATTAGTAAATGCGTCTGGATTTTCAATGAAATATATTGTTATTGGTTATTTTTTAATCTATTTTTTAATCTTAAATCCGTCTGGTAAAGATACTATAAAGTGTCCAAAAATTAGAATTCTAACATTACGGTTAAGAATGAATGAAGTTAAGTTTTGTAAGAAATGGAAAAACTTGTATACTTAGAGATGTGCCGAAATATTTTTGAATGGAGTTGTTGAATAACCATAATTTTGTTTAAAGTTGTAGTTATATTATAGAAGAAAAACCTTATTAATGTGTGTCTTTGCGTGTTGTTGAAGCCGTCTGGTAAAGATACTATAAAGTGTCCAAAAATTAGAATTCTAACATTACGGTTAAGAATGAATGAAGTTAAGTTTTGTAAGAAATGGAAAAACTTGTATACTTAGAGATGTGCCGAAATATTTTTGAATGGAGTTGTTGAATAACCATAATTTTGTTTAAAGTTGTAGTTATATTATAGAAGAAAAACCTTATTAATGTGTGTCTTTGCGTGTTGTTGAAGTTAGAAAAATCAGGCTGGAGGCTTTTGTACCAAACTTTTGTTCTGTATACGATAATCCTCGTCTTTCACTTCTTCTTGAATTAATACTTCTTAGTTTATCGGGGTATATATCTTATTCCCGTAGCAGGTAGCCGTTAACTATCGTCTCAATAAGGTTTTTTTCTTTCCTACAATAAATCCTCATATGTTATGATCGCGTCCGTTTCCGTTTCGTCCGTCCGTAGTGACTATTCATTATATACAATAGCTCGATATATCTATACATTACCTTGACTATATTCTGTTGTCTTTGTGACTTATAGTTTTACTTTTTCATTTGTACGATATTTTTTTTGTATGTAGCATAGCAAGTAATGAGGCAAATTTTAACATAACCCTTTAAACTTATTTATAGATATGTGGTTATTTTTTCGAATTAGGCAAAAAATCTTCGATGCCTCTAAATTCCTAATAGTTCACTATTATGCAGTATACGACTAGAAATTATACGACAGTCCACTTAAATTCACACACTTGATATACCTACATAAACTCACACTCAAAATATCTATATATCTATAAAAAAAAATGAAATAATCATATTTTTTTTAAATTATTTGAAATCGTCTCTTGTGTAGTCATAGATCAACACACACAATAGCAACAATCTATGTTTTGTCAAATATATTACAAAATGTACATAATTTTTATGTTTTAAAGTGCTCAACCTAAAATCAAGTGCACCAGCAGTGTACAACTAAAAAAGACAAAACTGCTGGGAAATACTCAATTATTCAATAAACATATTTAATTTTTATTTTAATGTAATTCGTTTTATGACAGTAAAAACGTATTTATTAAACCTTAAATAACAATATTAATTATCTGTAGTAATGAGGAATTTATTAGAATATGTACCTCGAAAGTTAAATTTTTGTATATTTTGAGTTTCTAGCTTAATTTCAATTAAAAACCTTCTTTGAAAAGTTGTGTTACTTTTAATAAGAACAGCAACGCTGTAACGTCAGTTTAACGTGTTTGTAAGAAAATATGTATTATGGTTATGTACCCATTCATATGATAGACTCCACAGGATCTATTTATAAAAAACCATATCTATATATTTATAAAAAATTAGGTACTCGTACTATGATATTATTTATTGCATTTAATATGTAAGTACAATTTAAGAAAATTATCCGTCCCACTTGATTTGGTGCTCAATGTAAAAGTGTTCTCATACTTATCTTAATACTGGAAATGTACAAATACAATTTAACACTATCACATATAAACTTTCTTTGCTAGCTTGACGTCGGCATAAACTTGGAAAAAGTGACAGAGTTTGGTAGGTTATTGCAATAACTAATATAAATCAATTGCATTTAAAAAGTTGCTGAAGGAACAAATTACTTAAAACCTTCACGGAAAACTGGTGCTAATCAATTTTTCGTTGCTTAACCGAGTGAGTGGACCGGCAGAACTGTTACTCTTCGGAGGACGTTGCACTCAATGGGAGACAACGCATGTTTATCTTAAGTTATGGGTGTCCATGAGCGGCGATAGCCACTTACCATTACGTGACACGCTGCTCGTTTACTACCAAAGGTACAAGATTATTTCACATCAATTCGCTCTCGATAGCGAGCGTGTTCATCGTTGCGATTGGTGAAGATTTTAGGTGCGGACCAATCGTAGCGTCGAACGCGGTCACCGTGACGTCGAAGTGAAATAAACTCGTACTTGGCCCTCTGTACTAAAAAAAAAAACAAAAATGTACTCAGTCCCTGACGAGAAGCTAGTAAGGAATGTACGATGAGTAAAATAAATAATGTTATTTTTCAAATGTTCTCAACATTTCAGATAATTTTGAAAAGTAATCTATTTAGGTGCTTTTTAGATGAAGATGACTTTAACCAGCTAAAAACGAAGTCATATCTCGCTCTAACTTCGTAAGATGAAGAGAGACAAGTATTGTCTTCGTGTACCAGAGCTTTCTACTTTAAGATCTGTACTGACATTATTAGATAAATATAGAGATAAGTAAAAATAATACATGCCATATATCTTATATAACAATGTATATACATATGCCTGTTTATTCGATATAATTATAATAATAATCTTTAATTATATTATTGTTAAGTAATAATAAACTGCTGTATTTCTTATTATGCGTTTATTAAAGTAAATATATAAAGAAAATAGTTTTGTTTTATTATAAGTAAGACACATTCTTCATTATATTTTGTGAAATAAGCAATTTTTTATGATTACTTTTTTTTTGCACATGTTTTTTCTTTCCCGTAAGTTAAGTTTGAATTTGATTTTGTGTACTCTATAGGTACTCTATTTATGGCGATAGTCAAAACCTTTTTGGGAAGGGCTAAAGTATTAATGCTATCCGGATCTTTCAGATGTTTTGCAGTCTAATACTGTTGAAACATTTTGGTAAATGAGAATTTTTCATGTCCATTACTACTTCAAAAGTTAAATTTTAAAGTAAATAAAAAGTAAATAGGATATGTAGGAAATAATATATGTGTATATTTCCTAAGCCCAAATTAAAAGAGACAAAACTCCGCACTGTTGGAGAACGAGTTTGTAATACTTTATTATGCTCCTGCCGCACATCATCAACAGGGGAATGTCACTACCTCTGTTAATCCCAGGAATGTCGTAAGAGCACTAAGGGACCAAACTACCCAGGACAATTATACTGCAAAAGAGAAGGAAAACTTGACACAAACCCTATACCAAGCCATCTGGCCAGCGTGATATAGTAGGCCAAAACCTACTTTTTAAGGAGAGTCTTATGTCCAGCAGTGGACTATTAATAGTTGTTGATGTGATGTGTGATGAATACATCCGAGGATCAGTAGAGTCGACGGAGTTTCTACTGTCCTGGCCTCTCTTTATTTGAGTAAACCATGACAAAATTTATGTCTACCATAAGCTATTCTGGGCGTAAAAAAATCTGGATAAGCTTTGAGAAATCTAAAGGAAAATAAAATGTACATTGAGAAAAGTAACATGCCGTATATTTTTATATAAAAATTTACATACATTTTTGTGTTTATTCAATATAAAAAAATGAAATATCGCCGTATAAATTAAACGTATTGTTATACTATTCTAGCGTTAAGTAATAATAAATTGCTACATTTCATTTTGTGCGTTTAATGGGTAAATAATATAAATATATTAATAAAATAGAGCAATCTATTTTTATTTTATTATATGTAAGCGTATGTCGACGGTCTTAGGTTACAGAACATTTATTGACTCTGAAGAGTGTAGCCCTGGCTATGGTATAACTTTTTTTTAGAACATTAGATCGTGATCTTTCTACACGGGGACACGTTATACATCTAAGTGGTCCACAATTATAAGCTTTATATACCTACAGATAATTATTTCAAGCCAAACTACTCTAAAATGAGCTAGCATTTTACTATACTATCGACCACTGAACTTGTTTGAAGACATCTTTTGATACATGTGATATCATATGTCATGATGATGATTTGATGGATGTCGTTTCATGTACAGTCGTACTTCTGCAACACCTTCTTGTTTCTTTACGTTTATCGATTTATTAAGATTCTGTAATAAACTTTACTGTTATTTGTTACAAAAATCAACTAAACACATTCAAGCTCTTTTCCATAGTAGTAATGTAGGTACCGTAGTTTCCATACAGCACAACATATTTTTAATGCATTTAATTATCAAGAAGATCACTGATTATCGTACCCTAGGTATATCAGTGAACATATGAAAAGCAGTCGGCTTTAAAATCATTTCATTTCCAATCAGAGTACAGTACATAGAATTGAATGATTATTTTTTTCTTTGATCTATTTCTTTTAATTTTATCAATAATATTGATTTAAGTGCGAACACATAAGCTTGAAAATGCAGAAACAGTTCATGCAGCTTCTTAATATTATTCAACAATTGCACAGGAATGCGTAATTTTAAAAGTTTAAGGTAAACCAAACATAATTATCATTTACAAATATAATAATGTTAGCGTTCCCTATATATGATAAATGATTTTTTATATCGTTACTGTTATATTATCTACATTTGGGTAATATCGTAAAATAACTAACTTATTTATTTATATTCTAGTTATATAACAACCTCATCTGAGTATAATATTTCTCGCAGGTATAATTGTGTTATGAAAGTTTGACATATTTTTTTTTAGAAAAATATTCGTAATTTTACAGTTTTTATTCGTGAATTATTATATTTTTTACGTATAAATGTGTACCTAGTGGAAATATAAAGTACCTATACATTTTATATAGCGATACAATAAATGATCGATCGCCATACTAAAGAGGACAGTTTGGACACTAAAATATTTTAGAGTCTACTTCAACAAATATAATACGCAGCTTTTAGAAGTAACGTATTATATTATGTTTAAGAACGTATTGAGTAAATCTTATTGATCTACCTTAAAGTACGAATTTACGAGAACTTCATTTTAGACTTAAACAGTTGCAAAATAAAGTTCATTAAGTTTATTTTGGGATTATACGGTTTAAAATATTCCACCCATACGAAAAAGGATTTTTTATTTGTATTTTGACTCAAATTCTTACATGTTATTAAAAAATGGGTGATATGTCATCACGATACACTTCACAAATAGCCTAAGTTGTTTTGTTTACCCTGAAACTTTAAATGGACCCTTATATCTTTACTATTTTTACTTGGGTATATACAATGATTTCTGAATGCACGATTTTTTCTTATTAAAAATTGGCTTCTTAAGCGGAACACGCACGCATGATGACAATCAAATATGCAATTTACTGTCTTGAGCCAATCCGCATTCAACTTAATTTCGCTTGCTGCTATTGATGAGGTATTTGCAGCAATGAGTGAGTAGATGCTTTTCCTTCTCCGCAGAACCGTTTTGGTGAATAGCAGTTGAGCCGCCGCGCTCGCGGGTGTATATGTCCAGCCCATACTGACCTGAAAAATAGTTAGAAAAGCAATATTTGTTTAGATTTTCTTCGCTTACCTTCTTTTTTTATCTACAATTTAAATATTCCCAAAGTGTCTGGTCGTCGGCAATTAGATTGCCCGCTATCACACGACTGGAACTAAACTATAGCTGGCAAAATGTGGGTCTTAAAATTATGCCACTTCCTACCACTTCGAAGATGCAGTAGTGGGTGTATATGCTGTTCGAGTGTGTTTTAACCCAGAAGCAAACGATAGGCTGATGATGATGAAGATGATGAAAAAGCAAACGCAGCAAAAAATATCTTTAAAAATGCCGTATTAAATAAGGCATTTTTTAAGATGTTTTTTCTTTTGATATAGAAGACCTTAGTTTGTGTAGGATAAATGTTTTGGAAATTAAAATAAATACATTGCATCTTACGATATAAAAGTTAATATCAGAATAATTGGAATGTATAATCTACAGTTAAGGATGTCCGCAGAATAATTTACATAGCCTCAATATAATTTTATTGTTAAATTGTGACTTAAAAATGCCTGTGTAGTGACGGATTAAGAATACGGAATGTCACTGGCCTAATTCATCACATGGGTGTCGTAAGAGCCGACTAAGGGCGAAAAACAACGCACTGCAACAAGAAGGAAAACTTGACACAAACCCTATACCAACAGTACCTAGTATATTGGTAAGTAGGCCATAACCTCCTTTCTAAGGAGAGGCCTATGTCCAGCAGTGGACAATTAAAGGCTGTTGATGTGATGATGATGATGTGATGATGATGATGTGTGATGACTTAACAATTAAATTGACGAACAAGATTAGATGATACAATCGTAGCTTTGAAGTCAGTCTACGAAAGTGTAAGCACGTCCAATTATATAAACATAATTAGTGCTAATAGTCTATCATTACAGACTATCAGTCTTGTCTATACCAACCTGTTTAATTATTAATAAACATTGTATTATACACAAATCATACCTTCTTCAGGGAAAGTAATGTAGAAGGACACGATGTCATCAGAGACGTTCTGCTGCACGTATTTCGATAGTCGTTTCTCATCGACTCCGTTTTTATGCAGTGTCGCCATGAAGTCGGCGAGCGGTCGTGACATGCGGAACTGGATCTCGAGTTCACGACCAGCAAATACCAGCGCTTCCTGTAGCGAAGCGAAACAGACTGGGTGTTACTTTCCACTTCAGCTTTAATGCCTAATTTGACATCAGGGTTGACAGAGTTAACTTGTTCGTTAAGTATTTGTGAATTTAAAATTAATCCAACTTTAGCTTCGGGCTTCGGTATTTAATTATTATAGGAAGACCAAGTTTATTTTTACAGGAATTTCTAATAGTATAAAATTATACATATACGAAGTTTTGTTATTTACTTAGTTTTTATTTTGCAACGCAAGCACACTCTCAAGCTCACTGTCCAAGTTTTGCTCTTGCAAAACTTGGACAGTGAGCTTAGGTAGAGCTCTCTAGAGTAGTGGCATGCAATGTAAAAAAAAAGAGTGTGCTTTAAACTACACGAATGAAGTAAAACTTCTTGGCTATGAGAGAAAGAGATAAAGAAAATGTGTGCTCGCACCTCTCTGTCTTGCCCCTACAGTAATATACAAAACGTAACTCTCTCTCTCTTTCTATCTTCACAAACTTATATCTCCCTCTCACCTTCCGTTCGCCTCGCCCAATCACACTTTGCGTAACGCTCTTGTCACGCATTCACCAGCTTACTCCCCAAGACAAGTTTGCGTAAAAAAGTTTTACTTCAAAAATAATCAAATAAGTTTTTTCGTGAGAATAAGATTGAATTCAATTTAATAAAACCTTATGAGGGTCAGTTCAAACTTACTTGGTGTGTAATAGGTACTAGACCGAAGAGTCTTGTTGCTTTCGTAGGTCCCCACTCACCACTGGCGCAATCTGGTAGTGGGACCATCACAGTTTGCAGCTCAGCGCAACAGATCTGGAAATTTAGTTTAGTATAATGTTATTACAATTTGTGATTCGTTAAATGTTTTGAAGCCAATGCTTGGTCGGCTTTCAAACTTAAACTCAAAATATCTTTATTTCATTTTTTTTAAATTGTTTGAAATCTCTTTTATGTAGACTCACACATATACACAATAGCAACAATCTCTGTTTTGTCAAATAGTGAGCCAAATAAATTTAATAAAAATTATACTAATACAAAATCTATGATATGCCTGTGCCGATCAACAACCGCCCGTTTCCAAGGGGTTGAGCCTTTTAAGTTCGGGTTACGTAACTATTGTAATTTCATTTACCTTGAACTTGCAAACGCTCTTGAACTTCATAGGTTCTCCAGTGAGGTACTCTCGAGGAGTGACGGCGTTCGCGAAGATATCCAACAGGAAAGCACCGCTGCAGGGCGCGTGCACTCGGAATGAAACAACGTTGCCTATAACCGACTGTGGAATAAATGGATTTATAATTAGCCAATAATCAGATATTTATGTGTATTTGATTTTGCAGAATATTAGTGGTTGACTGGGCGATTGTTATAAAAATACACTTTAAACATAGGTTCATGTTCTGCAGATAATGTATAGAAATATTTCTTACATACCTAAGTATTGCTTAGGTTTGACACTAAATAATTTAGATAGATGACTTATTTTGTTGTTCTACACTATTTAATCTCTTATGATTTCTCACCTGCATAACGAATCTCTTGAGACTAACACCGTCGAAGCCATCGCCCTCAGTATCATAGAACTTGAGGTTGTAGTGGAAGATAAGTGAGCTCTGCATGTGTGCGGGCATGGCTATACGCATAGTCGCCGCACCTGACATACCATACAAAAATTTATATATTAAGGAATGTTGTATGCGGGTGTTTAGGTAACGATACACACTGTTTTGTGAATGTAGGTAGATTTTAGTTGTACCGATATTTTAGTATTGAAAAGACAAAATTGAATTAGCCCTTTGGTTTGATATGGGCCAGTAACATAAACATAGGTAATGTAATTCTTTTGCCGTGCCTTGTGAACTTGTTAGTGGATAAAATTGTAATCACTATTAATTTTCTTTGTAATTTTCCTTACGAGACAATTCCGAGCATTAGTATCGATCACTATAAATTTTTTATCGTGTAATTGCCACTTGGTTAAGATTTTAAGAAAAAATCATAATGCAGTCAACGAGCTCTTGTTTATCGTCTAAATCATTGATCATTATATAACCCTGGCAGAGAATGCCTAAGCCCACCTCTGTACTTTATCCTTATCGTATGTATGTGTACTTTATCCTTATCACGTGTATTTTATACCTTATACTTTGTGTATATTTTTGTAAATTGGTGTGTCTCGGCTGATGAGAAGTATTAACAGATCTAAGTGAGCACAGGTTTAGGTTAGCAGGCTATCTATGTGTTTATTTGCCAAACCAATTGTAATATCTTTTATCTTCATGTTGGTCGTACTTTTGTACTGGGCAATACTAAAGCCAATCTGGGCGTATGGGATCCAATTATAAGGCACCGCATCCCACTCGAACATAGAAATCACACAATGGTTTCAAAATAAAGCACTGCGCATGATAAAAAATGCTCCCTGGTTCGTACCCAACGAACTATTACACCGTGACCTACGAACACCCACCAGTGAAGCAGGAAATTTTACGCCATATTAAGTCCTATAAAGCACGCATCGAACAACATCCAAACACTCTAGTTCGGTCATTAATGGAAAACCACAACAAAGCACGACGATTACAGCGTAAAATACCTCAAGACTCCATTCAATTACAGTAAATATTATATAACTACTGTCTAAATAACGAGAATGTGACACAGGTCACATGCCGAGCGCACCAGTGTTTAGCACCGGCCGACATGCTGCGGAATGTCCCATTAAGGAGACAGATTGTAGTTAGTCAAGAGGCCAAAAAAAAAAACAAAAATGTTAGTCATAAACCTGCATTTGGGTAAAAAATTGAATATACCTAAACCAAAAATCAAACATACCTGTTGAATCTGTGTACATAACAGCTTTAGTGTTTGGGTCACTAAAGTATAACCCGTAGCGGAAGAAGAGCGATCTGACAAAAGGTAGTTCTTCGAAGTCATGCAACGTGATAGGCGTCTTCAGCAGCTGCCAGTCCGCCTGCAGAGGGAAGAACTCGTAGATGAACTCGCGAGGGTCTGTTAGGAAGTAGTGGTCGTCGTACTCGTATCTGAAAATGAGCAATTGTATATTTATATCTTATGAAAAAGAGAGTTTTCGGGGGATGAAGACGGTTGGAATGGTACAATAGTAGAGCTTCTGTTTTGCGTCGTCTTCTAATCCTTCCGTTTTAGAGGATGCCGCAAATCAGAAGTTATAACGCAATGGCGGTCTTTAAAGATCAGAGTTCTATTAGTGATAATCATAAGTATTTAAGAGATACACGTGAGATCTATCAAGAGGACGTTGTGCGAATAATAGTACATAGTATTCTGATCACTAAATTACCTCACGCTGCAGTGAGTCACGGAGATGTTAAAGTGTTACCACTTATGTAATCTATTGTTTTTTTTTATTGGATAGCAAGTAATTTTCAGATTTTCAGAAGTTTGGAAGGATAGCTTCACTGGTACCTTACCAGTTAGTTGAAAATTGTTAATTACATAGTATGTTTATTTTGTGTAATGTACCTATGAGATATTACTTCTTATCCAGTAAAATGTAATATAAGTCTTATATATAGCATAATGGAAACTATAAGGATATTGACCTCAAGCTATCACTTTTCCCTCTATTCCCTGGTTTGGGAGCGTCTTTGGCGTTGACGAGGTGTCTGGCGCCCCAGTTGCACTGCACAAAGCGCCATGCTCCGGCTACGTAGACGGCATTCCAGGAGTTTCGGAATCTGTTGTCTTCAAAGCGCACTCCTGGTTGGTAGCCCGCAGATTTACTGTAGCCTTTAATAACCACGCAGTGAAGGCCTGCATAGCTGGTGACAATAAAGAAAAGCAACAAAAAATAATTTGTGTTTCTGAAAAGTTTAAACGTCAAACAGAAATCGATCTAGTTTCTTTTTCACGTGGAAACCGCAATTTAGAAATGAATTAGTTTACTGCAATGGAAATTAGCAAAGAAATCAAACATTTATTTCTACATCATACATTAATAACGCATATTATAAATATGTTCAACTCGCACATTTTAAACTCTTGCGATTCAATATGCAAAATACTTTTTACATCAGAAACCTGTTTATTATATGAATAAACATACATCGTGCTGCGTTTGACGGAAGTGAAGCAGTATTACCTAACTTAAAACGCGGATGATACTATGGAATCATGGTTAGATGAGCTGTTTATAATAAGTATACATAACATTGAAAGAGCGAATAATTAATTTTAGGCGTTATTTTAGACAAATTCAAACAAATACTTTCAGAGGTGAACCCCACTGATGAAACTAATATTACCTGCATAATCTCTTAAACAGTACATGGTAACTTTCTGTGCCGTGCTTAATGCCTCTGAGCAGTCCTAGCGGCGAGTCACCCCGAAGGTTATCGTCAAACTGAATATTGTTTAGATTCTTCACAGTGATCCAACGGAATATGGTTCTTGCTTTTTCGACGTCACTTGCACATCTACCTACAAGTTGTCGGACTAAGTCTGTGAATGTTTTTTGGTCTTCTTGCGCTACCTGAAATTGTGAACAGAGAGAATCAGAAGAGTACCCTAAAAAAAAGTATACATAGACATTATATGAAACTATATATTTTACTCAGGACCAAAAGAAGATTCTTGAACTACGTTTTGATTTCAAGTGGATCAATTTGGTGTTATAAATAAGTTACATTTCTTCTTTAGTCTTACTATGAACATCCAAATTATAAATTATGATTTGGGAAATAAGATAGGAACCGTTTGTCTTGATGTAGATCAAAAGCATATTTTGACCAACTTAATTATTTGTTCAAGTTGGTCAGAATATTATGCTCGTGGTTTCGTGACTAGATCTAACTCTTTGATTATACTTTGAGTTGCTTATACGATAAATAGATTATAAAGAACTTCTCGAAACTTAGATGGAATTATTGTATTGCTTACGAGCCTTTCATATTTTGGTTGTGTTATGAATATTTAACTACTCAAGCAGCTGAGCGTAACTTTCATATATTTTTTGCCAATAAATCTCAAGTCTTACCGAAATAGCAATTTTATCGACATCAGCAAATTCTGCTGGATCAGTGTAAATGTGGAATTTGGACACCAATGGAGGCTGAGGAGCAGGAGCTCTTGATGGGTATGGTGGCGCTTCTTCCCCATCAACGTAGAGGGAGGATGCTGCCATGTATTCAGACCGCCGTTCTTGGATTAATTCCATCATCTCGTAGCTTTGTTTTTCTACTAATGCAGCTGTCGCTGCCCTGTATCAGAAAAACTCGTTAGTGAAAATGTTTTCTAAAATTTCTGTTAAGGCGACCATTAACCCTCAAACCAGGTAGGTAGTAAAATTTAAAATCAAATCTTGATACCGACCGTTCATGTTCCAGCATTTTTCTCGTAAGGCTCTCTTTCTTTTTATCTCTTCTTAATGTCATATTCTTCTCTAAATCTGCTCTCTCTTGTTGGTGACGTAACGTAAGTGCTCCAAGTTCTGCATCCGGTCGTCTCTTTTTCACTTGCATTTCTTGTTGGAATCTACTTGTCAGCCTCTCAAGTTCACGTTCCCATTCATCCTGATCGAAAATGATTGCAGGTTAAATAAATAATAAGTACTTACAATAAGATTTTACATTTATAGTTAAGTGGTTAAGTCAAATGGTTAGTTTAATCTCTGAAAAGTATAAAACTTTTCAAAGATCACATTAACAGATTTTTCAATAAGACATTTAATGTATTGCTAACTTTAATGCAGAATCTCTGCATAAAATAATTGAGAGTTGTTGCCTATAACTTTCTCTTTGTCTTTTGTTTGTTCTCTGTCCTTTTTCTTTACTTTTGATTAGTGTGTTTAAAATATAAGAGTATTAAATTCTGTGAGTATAAAGAAGATACATACTTGTATCTCGTCTCGTATTCTTCTGTTTTCTTCCTCACGATGTTTGGAGAATTTTCTGTACAAATCGTCTTCTTCCTGCCGGTGTTTCATCTCTAGTTTGGTCTGTTCATCTCGGTCCTAAGGACAACAATATTAGATTGTTAATATGAAAATTAAATAAATATAAAACTAAATCCTCAAAGTGTATACTATCTGAATTCTTGAAATGGTAATTAATTTATTGCGCAGTCAACAATGCTGGTATTTTTTTTGGTTTCGGAATGTTTTTCAGAAAAAAACATGTTTGATAAAACTTCCTTAACAGCTATTGTTAAAACTATATAATAATTTTGTAATTATATTTATTTATGTATGTGGATCATCATCTTAATAAATAAACATCGATATAGAAGAATATCTAACGTTACTAGATATAATTTATCTTTACATATTAAACAATATTAACAATCGTGACATTGATTGAACCTTAACGATGGAAAGTGTCGCCACCAGGCGGAATGAAAGTGAAACGATGATGTCGTTCACCTGCGCTTGCGCAGCCGATTTGACCATTGATACAACCACTTATTTATTGATAGATCGCCCGCGGGATTATTGACGTACGGTATAATTTATTGTCTTTTAATTTGTGATTCAGAATGGCGGAACAGAATTGCAAGCATTCTTTTGCACGCTTTCTTGGGGAAATAAAATGCACACTCATGTCATTACTGATGTAAACTGGTACTGCTTATTTCAAGCCGTATTCATTAGACGTGGTAGCGATAAGGGACGATAGTTTTGTTCACTTGATTTTTTTTATGGAATTCGATATCCATGGGACCACGACTGGTAGTAACTACAACAAGTAGTAACTTAAAATACTGTTAGTTTGCAAATAAAAGTAGAGTTCTGCACAAAAAACATAAACATTATAAAGAAGGAACTGTTTGCTCCGTGCTGAAGTGCTAAAATCATCTAAGCATCAGTCCTAATAAAATTTAATACGGCGATATTATACAAGTAACTTTGAAATAGCAAATATTGTTTATGAAATTGGTTCCAGTGAAATGGTGTCATTCAATATTCCATAAAAACTATGGCCCGGATATCAAAGAGCAATCAAATTCCGCGTCTAATGCGAACTCGCTGTACCCACCAGTGAACATAGATTCTGATGAATCTTTTGTTGATGAGTTTTTGCTACGTGTAACTGTATATATTATTATCACTGGTCACATTGATCGTGGTTATTTTTCTTTTTTTTTAAATGTAAAATGGAATCGATGTTATTGAACCATCGTCTGTGTATGCGACGAATGCGCGATTTATTTTGTACCTGACTGAGCTGTACACCTTTCGTCTTGGTCTTTATAAAAAGATTCGAAGTCTCCATTATATATTTTGTGTCAATGCCTACTAAATTACGATTTCATTTAGATTAATGTCACTTTTTTTGTACTGAATAATACCTATTTTTAGTCAATCGAACATATTATTCGAAGTATTAAGTATTTTTCTATTAAAGTTAGTACACATCGTGTAACTGCTATAGAAATTTTGGTTCGGGTATAAATGAACTTTCTAAAAGTATTTTTCATGTTAGAATATGTCTATGTTCCTTATAGACCTTATATAGTAAAATTTTAGAATATCAGCTTCTGTTTTAGAAATGTAACAGCGGGATTCGCTATCTCTTCACATCACATTTCATGACAAATAAGTTTTGTAATGTTAATTTGAATTGTTTTCTATCATACATATGTGTATACATATGTATAACATACACACCAGATTAATATCGTCAACGGACGGTATATTTATCATTTCATATATTCATCTGTATATTTCTTCAAAAATATAGTTACATCGCCATGTTGTCACAGTTAAATAACCTTTAAGTTTCTCAGCTTGAAAAAGAATAATTAATGCCATGTCATTTACAAATTGGACTACCATTAATCACGAACCTTATTATGACTTTGCTAGATCGCATTATAATCTAATCGTTAATTAACCGTTTATTCGTTTCTAAAGTCATGTTTGTTTAACGTAAATAATTTTGTTCAAGGTCAACCACAACTTCGTGTTAAGTAGACTATAGGTTATATGACATCATCTAACAGATAATTATTGGAATTGAAGTAGAGCGATAAGTGCTTTTATGTAATATGATGTTTATAATATTGTTTTATGAAGTGCACTGCAACGGAATGTCTAAAAACGGAATTCCACCGAGCTATCTCCTTATATGAAAATATTACGTGAATAGTCGACGACTAACAATGGGTACACATTATCATTTCAAATAATGCGAGTTTTTATCGCGCGGCGGGAGGGTTGCCGAGTGAGGAATTTGTTTTTGTACGACTTAATCGTCTAGATAACGGTAAAACTTTATCGGCAGTAGCGCGGCTCCGACTCGCCGACCGGTCGTGTTTCATTCTGCACTTAATATTCATTTAAAAATGCTCAAACTCGTCAGAGGAATACGGCGATTGAACCAATGTCGGCACAATCACGCTACCGTCATAGGCACCGAATTGAACAGATCTGATCCTTATTATCAAGAGAACAAGTTGCGAATGGATGAGCTCGTCGATGATCTTCGACAGAAAACTAATGACGCCATCAAAGGCGGCCCGGAGCAAGCCGTAAAGAGGCACACCGCGAGAGGAAAACTGCTCGTCAGAGACAGGATTAACCGGTTAGTGGACGAAGGCAGCGACGTTTTAGAGCTAAGCACGCTTGCGGCCACCGACATGTACAAAGGGCAGGTCCCGGGCGCCGGTATCGTCACAGCCATCGGAAAAGTGTATGGTCGTGATTGTATGATTGTGGCTAATGACGCTACTGTTAAAGGTGGTACTTATTTTCCTATGACAGTGAAGAAACACTTACGGGCTCAAGCTATTGCGCAGGAATGTCGGCTTCCGTGCATTTATCTTGTGGACTCCGGAGGTGCGCATTTACCTGACCAAGCTGATGTGTTCCCTGATAGAGAACACTTTGGAAGAATATTCTATAATCAAGCTAATATGTCTTCGGAGGGTATTCCTCAAATCGCTGTGGTCATGGGATCATGTACTGCTGGTGGCGCATACATTCCCAGTATGTCGGACGAAAGTATCATAATAAAAAATCAAGGTACTATTTTCTTGGCTGGACCACCTCTTGTTAAAGCGGCTACTGGTGAAACAGTGTCTGCTGAGGACTTAGGAGGTGCTGACCTGCACTGCCGACGATCCGGCGTGACGGACCATTACGCGAAAGATGATGAACACGCCTTAAATGTGGCTAGAAATGTCGTAGCCAATTTAAATTGGAACAGTGAACAAAGAGCTAGAAACCAGACAGCAAAAGTTGATGACCCCATCCACGACATTTCAGATCTTCATGGTATTGTAGGTGCTAACATCCAGAGACCTTACGATATCAGAGAAGTAATTGCCCGGTTAGTTGATGGAAGCAGATTCCATGAATTTAAAGAATTGTACGGAGAGACTCTTGTGACCGGTTTTGCGACCATGTATGGACATCCCGTGGGTGTGATCGGCAACAACGGAGTCATATACTCTGAGGCTGCCCTTAAAGGGGCACATTTTATTCAACTCTGTGCAGCTAGGAAGATTCCTTTACTTTTTCTACAAAACATAACTGGTTTTATGGTTGGTCAGGATGCAGAAGCCGGAGGTATCGCAAAGAATGGTGCAAAATTAGTTACAGCAGTCAGTTGCTTCAAGGGCCCAAAAATTACAGTATTGATTGGTGGTAGTTTTGGTGCAGGCAATTATGGAATGTGTGGTCGAGCTTACTCCCCTACTTTCCTTTATATGTGGCCTAATGCTAGAATATCAGTTATGGGAGGTCCTCAAGCTGCGACTGTATTGTCATTAATAGCTAAAGAGAAGGCAGAGAGAGAAGGAAAACCATGGACTGATGAGGACGAGAAGAAAGTTCGAGCACCTGTGGAGAAGATGTTTGAGAAAGAAGGCCGACCTTACTATAGTACAGCTAGACTTTGGGACGATGGAATCATTGCTCCAACAGACACCAGAAAAGTAATAGGACTGAGTTTGTCAGCGGCGCTGAACGCTCCGTTCCGGGACAGTAAATTCGGTATTTTTAGAATGTGAAAAGTTTATTGTCCGTGTCAGTGTATAACAAAATTATGCAGTATGTGTTATCGAGAACCATAAACTGCTTTTATTACAATCGTATTTTATTTGACAATTTTAGTGGTTGGTTAATACATAATTGATTGTGATAATGTGTAAGTACTTCTTGATTGGATCAGCGTCAAAGTTTGTATCTTCTTTCTTTTTTATCGTGTCGGTTGCTAACGTTAATTTTCGCGTATGTTAAACACTTAATTATGTGTGTGAAAGTCCTTTTTTGGTCAACTGATAAGACATAATAGGTAACTACCAAATCGGTTGATAATACAGATTGTGTAAATATTGTGCTATCTGTGTCATGATGAAATGAAGGACATGTGTTATTACAGTCACTTACGTAAAAATATTGACTCAATTTACTCAAAAAAGCAACAAAGCGTATTTTAATTTACTTTATAATACTATAAATTAATAATTCTACGTAAAATAGTATGCGATGTTGAAATCAGAAGCATTTGTTTTTTTGTAAACTCGTTTAAATGAAGTCATATTATCGGGCAAGAAGGTTGTCTTGATAGTTCCTTTTAGTCACAAAAAGTGTTGCTAAGTCAGGAAATATCTGTAAAAACGATACTGTTGTACAGCTACTGTGGTTTTGTTTTGTCTTGTTTATTATATAAATGTGTGTTTAAGCTACACACGAGTCTAAAAATATATCTTGTTAGTTTTTTACACGACTAGAAATTAGAAAAGATATGATTTTTGTGTTGTTTATTTAGTTGGATTATATATGGTGCGTTTAACCTACTAATCTTCTGTCAAGACTGAGTAACAACAGGCAGTGATTTGGCAACTGTTATCTTAAATAAAGCAAGTTTATCTCTAATAGGTTTCATTTATAACGTGTCTCAAGTAAACTGTGTAGTAACATTACTGTACGAAGTATTTATTATCACAGATGTTTTATCAATGACAACATTGATGTAGGTACCTATGTTCGTCATCAATATTTAGTTTCGCAATAAACTTTTTTTCGTTAACTTTATCTTTTGTTTCTTTTCATTATCTATAATATAATATAATATATAATAATTGGTGAAGTCCGCTATATCAAACTCATGTATACCTAGTTTAAAATATAAGTATTTATAACTCGAAATAAACAAGTTAATATGAACTAATTTAGCTATGTATTGAATTTATTTTTAAATTGTTTAGTAAATGATAGTATTATACGGCAGGCAGAGGTTTTAGTAAACCTTTTTACTAATTTCTTCCGCATTTCTTCGTCTATATTACTCGCTAAACACGAAACATTAATTTATCCGACCCGGTAATTGAACCCGCGAATGACATACACATTTGTAACACTCGAGCAACTCACATCATCACTTCAACAGCCTTTAATAGCCCACTGCTGGACATAGGCCTCTCCTTAGAAAGGAGGTTTTGGACTAATATCTTATTGTGTGTGTACCTATATTTACTATTTTGTGTTTTAAATTTAATGTTGGAAGAGAAAACGCATAAAGTGAGAGAATTTAAAAAAAGTTAAAGCTAGAACTAGCGGTCTTATAGCCATAAAATATTTAATTTTAAAAAAGAAATAAGAAAACTGCCAGTGCTAAAGAATTCTTATGGTAGCTGCATTCAAAATAAGAACAATAGCAATAAAAGCAACTGTCGACTATTAGCATGTTAATGTGATACATTGACCCGTCAGTCAATACGAGTTCAAGTTTAACAATAGGATATCAGCCAGCCACTCACTTTTAAACTTCAAGTCTAGATGACAAGGTCATAGATAATGTCATCTTTTTTTTAGAATGTGCAATGTAAGACTCGACAAAGTTCAGTTATGTTTCTATTCGCATTTTTTTTTGTATCCTACTATTATTTCTTTAAATAATAGTTGGTGTACTTATAGACACGCAATTCTGGGTAGATCTTCATAAATTGCAGTACTAAATAAATTAATGGTTTTATACTTTACCTTGTAAAGAAGTCTATACCTATTCTTGTCATCTATATATAATCGTCTATATTTCTGTATTTTTGGGTTTGCCAACAAAATCAAAAGGGTATTTGAAATTGCCCCAAAGATGTTAAATTATAATCGTACGGTATTATTACTACTGCGATTGTAAACAAACACCAATCGAGCAGACGGGTCACGTGATGGTAAGTGATAGACATGGAAATGAGCGGCGGTAGCCTAGTGGTTAAGGTGTTGGACTTGCGATCAAGAGGTCGTGGGTTCAATCCTGACCAGAACACTACTGACGTGAACCCACTCCTAACACAAGCAATTGAGCTTAGCGGGAGGGGTTAACTGGAATACTAGTAATTTCGGTTGCTAGTAGACCTTAAAAAAAAGAACTTTAATCTCTTTAAATAATTGCTACTTTTAAATGATATTCATTTGAAGAAGTGATTGGTTTTAGTCACAGCGATTTCACATGCGATTGTGATTTCGTCATAGACAAAGATAAATGGCATTAAAGTCAATCAAAATTCTTTTTATCTAAACCTTTATGTTTTTTTTTTAGATTTAGACCTTTCGCGAGTCTTGCGCCAGCGTAATAATAATAAATCATTAGTAAATCAGCCTCAGGTGTGATGATATGATTTATCACATGTGATTGTGATTTAATTCCATCCCTAGTAAGTGACTACGGCCGCTCATAGACACCTGCGACTCAAGAGTTACAAGTGCGTTGGTGCCTTTTAAGTCCTCTTCTGCTGATTCAAGGGGAGGGAGAGGTTTAAGCTCCGGGAACCTCACTCACTCCGTGAAAAGCAATGAAAGAACTACTTAACATCGCTTTGGGAATTTATCCTGTGTTGCGGTCGACTTTACAAACATATTAGGTCTTTACCTATGAAATTTTTTAGTGGGTAAAAAATTCAATTCCCGAGAGGCAGTACAAAATGCCTTTGAAGGGTTTGTTGCCTCCCATCCAGCAGATTTTTACAAGAAGGGCATCAACAAACTGCCAATGCGCTGGCAAAGATGCGTCGATTGCATGGGTGATTATTTCGAATAACAGAAATAAAAAAGTGTGAAAAAATAAGTACTTTCACTTATTGCATACAAAACGGCAATTTCATAGGTAAAGACCTATTACATACTTACATAAAACGGACACAAAGAACACCCAGACTCAGAACCACAATTTGTGGATTACACTAGTGTCAATGTGTTCAATTTTATAATAAAATCCCAAATAATATTCAAGACTTAAGTGTTAACAAATATATTAATAATATTATTACTATAAATTCAAATTCTGGATAGAAGACAAAACCGCTTGGGATTAAATTAGCGCAGGCTATTTCTTAAGTGGAAATGTGATATGTTTTTTTTGTTTCTTTTTTTATGTTTCACTTCACCTTCCCATATATTTGATCTTTTCCTAATCTTATTTTTCTCTTTCTTGTCGTTTTACCTTTTAGTCCTTAATAACGGACATACTTGCACACATAAAACAATGTTGTGGTATATTTAATGATGCCATTGTAAATTGCAAAAGAGTGACCATGAGTTTTTTTTGCCCTTTCCTCTCATAAGGCTCAACCCCTTGGAAGTGGTTGTAGGTCAGCAAAGACATATCATAGATTATGTATTAGTACAACTTAAATTTTTATTTCATTTTAAATTTACGTTGCTAACTATTTGACAAAACAGAGATTGTTGCTATTGTGTGTGTGTGTGTTGATCTATGACTTTAGAGTCTACATAAAAGAGATATCAAACAATAAATAAAAAAAATGCAATAAAGATATTTTGAGTTTGAGTTAGCGTGGTCCCATGTGGGGATCGCACACACAACAATCAGTGTAGTAGGAAGCGGTGTGGCGACCGCTTAAACCACTACGCCATCTGTACAGTCAACTATAATTTCACTGTAATACACGATAATAAATACTTAATTGATTGGCAACAATATACCCGCTCTTACGATCGAGAGAGCCATTTTACGCTTTCCAGCCACAACGGTCTCCGCGTGCGTAATTTTTTTTCTAACTGGAATTCTTCGCAAGAAAACCTTTTGTGCTATCATCCACGTAGACTATTAACATAGTTAATTGCCGGTCCGAATGCTGTGTTGATCGCATTTTTAAATTATCTTTATAAAAAACAATACAAGTTTTAGGTTGTCTTTGATTTTGTAACTGAAGGCTATTAGATGTATTTATTTTTTCTAAAGTTGCGTTTTATAGGAAAGTTTAACCTCATTTTAGAGTCGTAAAATAGACCAAGTAAAAAGGTAAAACGTATAACTATTTTTTATCATAGTTTTAAGGAAAATAAAAAACAAAACAGAACAGATTAAAGGAAACTACTTGGTTTTTGATACAGGAATCTTATTTTGGCCTGACTGTAAATCGAACCCACTACTTCAGGCACGGTCAACATCTAGGTACTAGACTATTGTGCCGAAAAAATGCGCAATGCATTAAAACAAATGCTGGTATTGTGAATACTCACGGTATCTTCTGTACATAGAAACTATTTGAATGCATTTTATAAAACAACGCATTTTGATATTTCCTAAACCAGAACATTAATTGACTGAAGTCCTATCTATCACAATAATAATAATCATTAATACAGTTTACCGCTGCAACTTGAGCTGAAGCCATAAATTGTGTCTCGTTTGGAGATTATAATACAGTCAGACTCATAAATTCTATAAAAAGAAAATATCTATATATTGTCTTCTATTATTATTATTATTATTATTATTATATTATATTATATTATTATTATATTATTAAATATGTTTAATAATTTTTTTCTATACAGTAACACTCATAAATCAAATGTTATCTATTACTTAAAATGCGTATTAAATACTGCGTGAGAACAGTGAGAACTCTCAGCTACATGTACATGATAAGGACAAGTACAAATTATGCATTCCAGATGACTGAAACGCCCTTTAGACTATCTAAGGGGATCTGTGTATATGGAAAGTAAGTGGGTGATTGTCATCGGAAACCTCGTTTATTTG